GATGTCATGCAAATTTGTTATTTACACTAAATAACTGAGCCTTATCACCACGTTGTCTTTGTTCTTGCTTGTCGAGCTTTTTGAGATTCTTGTTGCATAATACTGTAGCTGAGTGCCAATTTGGGCTAGATTCGTGGCCAGGTTCATGGCCAGTGCAGGAGACAAGTGAGTTGGCGAATGGCGACAAGATGCATTCTCTCATCTCACTCAGGCTGTGTGTTTCGATCGGCAGGTAGCGATGCAATGTACTAGCATACTCGGATTGTCAGGGAAATAGGTTTTTTTTAATGTTCTCTCCTTAACATTGCTTTTATCAGTACTGACTAAGCAGACAATATATGTGCTTTTGCAACCTGTAAGATCAAAACGATGAGCATTTGCAAACTAAGGCCCCGTTTAGATCTAAAAAATTTTGGATTTTGTCAGTTTGTATTTGAAATTAGGTTTTTTATGGACTCTCTCCTTTCAAATTTCTTTTATCATTTCTCACCCAATTGTGCACAATTTTTCGTGTGCTTAATTGCATGCGCTGTAAGATTCGATGTGAAAACGATGAGCAAATTTTTTTGAAATCTAAACAGACCCTAAACAAAACCAAGCATGCATGCATGGTAAATAGGTTCTGATTGTCAAGGACAGCTAACCTGCTATGCTAGCTGAGGCTGTGACCAGTGAGTGGTGAGTGGGTGAGGCCTTGTTTAGATTAAAAAATTTCTGAGGCTTTGTGACCAAAAGATTCATCTCGTGATTTCCAACTAAACTGTAATTAGGCTCAATGCAAACGTCCAGTTAATATGGAGAAAAAAAAACTTAGAACTTTGAAGAGAACTAAACAAGGCCTAAGTGACATTGGCCACTAGGGAGCAGGATAGAGCTGCTGGTGTCGTTTGGCTCTAGCGATCAATCAATCAACCCCAGCCATGAATGGTCTCATGCATCCTTGTCTCAGTTCATTGAACGTGGACGGCTCTTGGGATGGCCTTAGCTTTTAGGTTATGTGGACCTTTTTGGATGTGTATAATTACAGGTGCATGTTTGGAAGAATTACAGAACGGTGATAAGATGATACCGAGGTTGATAGAGACAAGGGACTGGGTGTGAAATATCAAACGGAATGTTTCGCGGAACGACTCATGCTGGATCGTGAAATTAGGCATACACAATGTATACGTGTCAAGGTTCTATAAGTCTAAATTTCAAAATAGTGATAGAGATGATACCAAGCCTGATTAGGATAGGCACGGCAAAAGGTCAAACAAACCATCTTAGAGAATAGCCATACGTTAGTTTGTAAATATAAAAAGACATATTGTACATGTGCTGACATTTTATAAGCTCTATTGTGGATAATGATGACATCGCATCGATGAATAATAATGAGCATGACAATAAATCATAGAAGACGTCTTAGAGAGGAATCCATGTTGGCACGTATATATTTCGAAGTTCAATAGGTTTTTAGCTTTGAATAGTGACCATGAGGATATCAAACTAGATTAATTTGGTATTGTAATGAGAAATACCAAGCTTGATAACTGGATACCAGAAGCCTTGCTTTAGCCTATAAAATGAACAAACAACGATACAATATGATTGACCCACTTTAAATAGAATGCAAATTTTAGACTTCATGCAAATAAAGTATCTGAGAAAACACATCCTTTTACGTTGATCTATGAAAACAACAAACGTCGTATGCTCAACGATAAAAAAAAAGAATTAACCATTTACATAATACAATGAAATTTAAGTTTAAGATTTCATAAAGATGGACATAGGTTAAAAGTAGAAACAAAATGATAGAAGATACCAAGATCATAATGTCTCTGTCGATCCACTAGCTGTGTAGTTAACCGGCGGTTGAACCAGGCCAGCCACGGCCTGTCCCTTTCTCCATTCCGAGCCCAGGCCTGAGCCCGGCCCCAAAGGCCCAAAATCAACGGGCAGCCCGCAGAGGAGCTGAGCCCTTCCGACGTTTTCTCCAGACCAGGTAGCGCGGCGGCTGCGGGTCCGGACGGCGCGCTCCTCCTGTTTTCCCGTCCCCCGCATCCGGAGAAGGCGAGAAGCGCAAACAAGCGGGATAAAAATGGGTAGTGCTGGCGCCCAGACGTCCGATGGATACCGATCCATCGGACGGTGCCGCGGACGCAACCCCCGCACATCTGCGTGACGGAAGCCCACGCTGCTCCCCGCTTTCTTCTTACGTTTCGTTTCCCCAGCGCTTGCTCACTCACGACGCACTTACTTCCCCCAGACCCGTCCCCATAGCCCGCCGCGTCCGCCTTTGCACCGCTCCACGTGCGCGACGAGCATGCCCCATCGCCCCCCTGACCGTAGCATCCCTATCCGCTCGCCCCAACGCTTCCGTCCACTATCCCTTCGACGAGCCACGCGTCCCCGGCCGCCCCTCCCCTGCCTAACAACATAAAAAGCTAAAATAAAACACGTGCAACAACACGGAACACAACTACTATAACATTAGGCTGAAGCAGCTGAAACACCATGAACATATTATTGCAACAACACGAAAACAACTACTGCAACATTAGGCTAAAGCAGCTGAAACACCATGAACATATTATTGCAACCACACGGAACAAACTGCTGCAACAATAGGTTGAAGGAGCTGAAACATTTGAATAGTTGCAACATTAGGATGAAGCAGTTGAAACACCATGAACATATTATTGCAACAACAAGGAACGACACCTGAAACATTAGGATGAAGCAGCTGAAACACCATGAACATATTATTGCAACCACACCGAACTAACTGCTACAACAATAGGCTGAAGGAGCTGAAATATTTAGAACGTATTATTGCAACACTGGTGTGAATCATATGAAACAACGCTCGAAATAAAAACACTTGCAACAACATGGAACACCTACTGCAACATAAGATTGAAGCAACTGAAACATACTGCAACATCTCAAAGCAGTACTACTGCAACATCGCAAAAACATCTGTTGCAACAACCCAAAAAATCCCATTACAACATTTGAAATCATATGTTGCAACATCAAAAAAACCATTGCAACACGGCGAGTTCTGACCCCGAGAGATCGCCGAAACCTTAGCCACCGCCGCATCTCTTAGATCCAGGAGGAGGAGGAGGAGGAGGAGGAGGCTCAGATCCAGAGAAGGACCCACCTACCTCGCTGGAAGCCGCCGCCGTCGCCCTCTTCTCCGGTGGCATGGAGGTCACGGAGGGAGGGAGGGAGGGGCGGCTCGCCGGAAGCCACCCCCATCGCCCTCCTCTTCTGGGACATGGAGGTCGAGGAGGGAAGGAGGGAGGGAGGGGGAGCTCGTCGAAAGCCGCTGCCGTCACCCTCCTTTCCAGTGGCATGGGGGTTGCAGAGGGAGGGAGGGAGGGGCGACAGCGCGCGACGCAGCAGCGAGAGAGTGGAGGAGTGGGAGGAGGAGCGAGGAGACCGAGAGAATGGTGCGCGCGGTTCACATGCGAGCGGATAAAACAAGGCGGGCGCGTAGTCGCTCTAGCGGACGCCCGCACAGTAGCGTTTCCGGAAAAAAAAAATCCCGGTCCCGGTCCCGGTCCCCGGCCGAGTAGCCGACGCCACCGCACTCGTGCCCGGCCCCGCCACGTAACCCCCGTCCCGCCTCCTCGAGCCTCCCCGTCGCGTGTCGTGCGCTGCGCTTGCTATTTAGCACCCCCGTCCTCCGTCCCAAGGCAGTCGCAGTTCACAACTGCGACTAAAAACTACAGTATCTTCTCCACTGCGACTAAAAACTACAGTATCTTCTCCACTGCGACTAAAAACTACAGTATCTTCTCCGCCGCGATTTGGGTAGACTTGGGCACAGGCGTTGCTTCGCTTCTCGGACTACTAGGTGAGCAGAAAGCTCGCGTCTTTTTTTCTCTCCTGGATAGGATGGGAGTTCAGATCGCTTGGTTTTGATTCGGGATTCCTGCGCACGCTGGCCTGCTCCTGATACAGAGATCGCCTTCTGAGGCTAGATTTTTCGTGGTTGATAGGGTTTCCCCGCTGAATCTTCGGGCCTTTTCACCGGTAGTATCGTCGTCTTTTCTGTGGTTGTCTCTGCGCGAGAGCTACTGCAACGCGCGGGTGATCTGGAGTTGTTTTCTCGGATATTCCTTTCATCTCGATACTTGCAGTGGCTGTGGGTCCCTTTAATGAGTAGATGCATGCTGCCTGCGCCGGATTTGTCACCCCAAAGATTTGGGATTTATCGATAGCTATGGAGGATTTACTTCCCCATTCCTCTCGATTCATCCGAACGTTGGTTTGCTGTACTGGTTTGGTCTGTTGAGCTTTGCGTTGTAAAGCACGCCTCCGATGTTTTTGCCGGAAATTTCGATGCTTTACCAAAAAAAAAAAACGTTCGGTACCTAGCATAGGTCGTGCTGCCTTTATACTTGCCGCTTCCACATTTTACTCGATGCGTTTCATACTTTTCCCAACTAAGTAGTTTGGCTATTAGAGTACAAATCCATCTGAAGAAGTAAAAGATTGCTGATTGCGACGAACACACACTCTTTGTGCGTTTCGTGTGTGCACTTTTGGTATTTCTGTCCGGAAGATCTAAAGAAGAAATAGATGTTTAGATTCTTTATTTATCGTGTCCTTAACCTGTAGGGCTGCAAACCTGCATGTGCTGCAAACCTGCATCTGTGTGCTTGCGATGTGCCTTTTTGGTTTGTGTTGTAGTAGATAGGCGATAATTGCCACCTTATCAATGAAGTGGTGTTCATGTTCCATGGTCTGGATTTCAAAGTTGGGAATTTTACTATGATCTCCTGTGCATAGGGCATCTCGTTACAAATATTATGCAAGCGTACAAGACTAGTCAGCAACTACTCAGCGCTAATTACACCTGTGCACAGACTTTTTAGTTCGTAAAATGTTTCTGTGACAAGTTCAGTGTAGGTTTATTCATTAGTATTCTAATGATTGCAGGTTAAGTTGCATTTTCGGTTCTCAGAAAAGGACTGGCTCTGCACTTAGATAATATTAAAATGGATAGTGCACAGCCACCGAGTGGGGAATTGAACACTTCGTTCAATACTCTAATGGTTGCTGGAGGTGACCAGAGTCAACAGCCTCAGGATGCTGGCAATGAAACCAGCTTCACGAACTGGAAAGACCTTCCCATGGAGCTACTCCTGCGTATCATTTCACTAGTTGGAGATGACAGGATAGTCATTGTGGCCTCCGGTGTATGCACAGGATGGCGTGACACATTAGGGTGGGGAGTTGCAAATCTTTCACTATCATGGTAAGAATTGTCTTTCAAGCATGTCTGTTTCAGTTTGACATACATTATCTTCAGAAGATGAGTTCATCAATATCAAGATTTTAGAATCTAGAAGCTTCCATGCTGTAGATTTGGATACAATAGTGGATTAGTATTCAGCTGTCTTCGGTTTCTTAGATATTTAACCCAATATCGTCATAATGTTTGATTGCAGTGCATTCAGTCACTAATTCCGTAATCTAAATCCATCATGATAACCTGTTTGGTTGAATTTCTTTTCAGTAGATCATTTTCTTTGCTGTTGTTGTTTGGCAAAATACTGTTGTTGCTGCTGTTGTTCAACCACATGATGTAGACAGTCAACCATATGATGTTCTTGCTATAAAGGTCATTGCAAACATGAGAATTCCATGTGCTGATTTCTCGGCCCAACAGTTGACTAGATTATAGAGAGAAACCTAAAAAGGTAGCCATAAATGATTATACATGGGCTGTATGGCAACCGAAGTACTGTACAAGAATCCCTGTGGATCATACATACTTACATAGCAAACTTCAAGCAGTAGTTTTAGTTCATTATTTCATACCTTCTGATACACAAAGTAGTTGTGTATCCACATAAGCCTTCGAATAGAACTGGTGTGATTTTTTTTTTCTTTCTGATATAGCAAAGTCATCCTAGAGTGACATGTCTTCCTATAACATTCCCGGCTTATGTAATTTTTGGATGAGATATGTTGTGCTTGGCTTCCTTCATGTTTATGCTAAAGTTCCTTGTGCTATGCAAATAAAGTACGTAGTAAACTTTGTTTACTTCAGTTCCTAGATGACCACCTGGTCTTTTTGAATGACTTTTGGAGAGGAAAGTGTTTATTGACCAAAGAAAATGTCAAATTCAGGTGCCAGGGCCACATGAATGACTTGGTGATGTCACTGGCTCACAAATTCACGAAGCTGCAAGTTCTATCTCTACGCCAAATCAGAGCTCAGCTAGAAGACAGTGGCGTGGAGGCCGTGGCAAACAACTGCCATGATTTACGCGAGCTGGATCTTAGCAGAAGCTTTAGGCTCAGCGACCGGTCCTTGTACGCTCTGGCGCATGGGTGCCCTCACCTTACAAGGCTCAACATCAGTGGGTGCTCCAATTTCAGTGATGCGGCTCTCGTGTTCCTCTCTAGCCAGTGCAAGAACCTGAAATGCTTGAACCTGTGCGGGTGTGTGAGGGCAGCTTCTGACAGAGCACTACAGGTACTTCATTTTCTGTAGCATTGTTTTCTTGAGCTTGCATTGATTCCTTAATTCCTGCTATTTTGGTGGTGTAGGCCATTGCTTGTAACTGTGGCCAGCTGCATTCGTTGAACTTGGGCTGGTGTGATAGCATCACTGACAAGGGAGTGACCAGCTTGGCTTCAGGATGCCCTGAGCTCAGGGCTGTGGACTTGTGCGGTTGTGTTCTTATAACAGGTAACTTGCGTTTACGTATTTGGTGTTGAATCCTGCAAAACTATCCTAAAACTTAGCTGACTACTCTTTGGCCTGACGCTTGTTTGATCTCTTGCTACAGATGAGAGCGTGGTTGCACTGGCGAACGGCTGCCCTCACCTGCGTTCCCTGGGCCTGTACTACTGCCAGAACATCACTGACCGCGCCATGTACTCCCTGGCCGCCAACAGCCGCATGCGGAGCCAGGGCGGGGGCTGGGACGCGACAGCGAAAAGCGGCGGCGGTGGCGGCAAGGACCGGGAGCGGGACGGGCTGGCGAGCCTGAACATCAGCCAGTGCACGGCGCTGACCCCGCCCGCGGTGCAGGCAGTGTGCGACTCGTTCCCGGCGCTGCACACGTGCCCGGAGCGGCACTCGCTCATCATCAGCGGGTGCCTCAGCCTCACTTCCGTGCACTGCGCCTGCGCGCTGCACCCTCACCGAGCCGGGCGCGTCATCCTCTCCAACCACGCCTACTGATCGCATTGTGGAGCTGTGGTGCTGGGATGTGTGCGTGCGCGACGGGGCTGTTGTGTGAGGTGCTTTTGTGTTGTGTTGTATGGGCGTGTACTAGGGTATCTACTCTCTAGGGAGCTGTATTGAACCGTGTAGAAGCAACTGAGTTAAGCTTATTGTCTGTAAAAAATGGACTGTATTTGTGGCCTTGGCCTGGTCTCTTGGTGCACCAGAAGCAGCAGCGCGATGGCCGCGAAGTCACTCCTTTGGCAGGGCTCTCACCGGCTCCAGCGTCGGTGATGTGCTGCTGGCTCGCAGCCGTGCGCCTGTGCCTGTGGCAAGATTGGTGCTGTGTTGCTGGCAGCCATGCGCCCGTGCCTGTGGCAAGATTGGTGCTGTGTTGCTGGCAGCCATGCGCCCGTGCCTGTGGCAAGATTGGTGCTGTGTTGCTGGCAGCCATGCGCCCGTGCCTGTGGCAAGATTTTCTAGGCATGGCAAAGTGACCTAGGCACTGCAAAGTGAACTAAATTTTCTAGCTATTTTTGTGGTTTAGCTACGTTTGCCTAAGGTTACTTGTGGCAAATTAGGAACCAAACAGCCCCGACGCTGCCGTGGGAGCCTTCTTTTCGTTTTTGCCAAAACCAGCTGCCCTGACAAACGAGGATTTGCGTTTGTGGTAGCTTTTTTCTTAATTCAATTCAAAGAAAGGAATTTCTCCTTTCAGAAAAGGGGTTGTCTACTTTTTATATCCGTGTGTTTTGGACACTAGGAAAACAACCAAAAACAGCACAGCAATGGCTAGGGGTGGGTGTCTTAGTTATCTAAGGATCGAAAACTCTTACGTGAGTAATTAGCTAAGTTTCCAATAACTGAGATTGCACTACTCGCGCTTGTAAGGGTGTAACTCTACTTCCCCTTTGCTTATTAATACAACGCCGGGCAACCGGATCTTTAAAAAAAAATCGAGCAGCAGTGATTAGCACACGGAAAAAAATCCATTTTGCCTCTCTCAACTATCACGAAAGTCAGTTTTTCCTCCCTCATCTCTCAAACCGGTCACTTTACCTCCATAGCTGTTTCGGTTGGTGGTTTTCTTTTTTTCGTTTATGTTTATTTGGCTGAATCTTTGAAAAATCATATTAAATCATAGAAAAATCATAAAATGGAAAAAATCCAATTACGTTGGACTCCACGTGAGTAGTTCTATACACAGTGAACATATGACATGATATGCTTTAGTACAAAGTTTTTTTGTTGTAACCTTAGATCTATATTTTTATATAATGAATTCATAGCTGCAGTTTCTCTTGTCCAATTATGGTGAAACTTTTATTATGGATTAATCATTGCATGCTTGAGATATAGAAAAAATTTCATGCTCATTGAATCATATAACTGAGTTATAGATTTATCTATTAATTTATCTAGGTTTATATAGATAAAACTATAACTCAGTCATACATGATCCAATGAGCATGAAATTTTTGCTACATCTCAAGAATTCAATGATTAGACCAACCATAAAAATTTTACCATAATTGGAGCTATGAATTAATTACAGAAAAGCATAGATCTAAAGCTACAGCAAAAATTTTATACTAAAACATACGATATCATATGTTTATTATGTAGATCTACTCATGTGGAGTCTAACAAAAATTTCATGCTCATTGGATCATGTATGACTGAGTTATAGATTTAATTTCATTTAAAAACTATTTAACAAACATAAACCTAGATAAATCTATAACTCAATCATGCATTATTCAATGAGCATTAAATTTTTACTACAGCTCAAGCATGTAATGATTAGGCCACCATAAAAATTTCACCACGATTGAATCAGAGAAATAACAATTATGAATTAATTACAAAAAAAATAAATATAAAGTTAAAACAAAAACTTATATTAAAGCATACCACGTCATATATTCACTATGTAGAACTACTAATGTGGAGTCCAACGTAATTGGATTTTCCATTTTCTGATTTTTTATGATTTACTATGATTTTTTAAAGATTCAGTCAAAATAAACATAAAAAGAAAAAAAGAAAAACCACCAACGGAAACATCCATGGAGGTAAATTGACAGTGTTTTTGAGAGATGAGGGAGGAACTATATCTGGTTTTAGAGTTGAGGGTGAAAAATCTCACTTTCGCGATAGTTGGGGAGGCAAAATGGACTTTTTCCTCTTTTCTAAAGCCAACGCCCAACGGGCTGTCTTCGTTGCACTTTCGAACAACTGAACAAGGCCGATGGATGCACTTGCTGGGCCTTTTGTCAGACGTTAATATGGGCCAATTATCAATATGGCCGGTCGTGCCTGTTTTGAACTAGCCGATGTTGTGATGTGTGATGATAAGAGCTTACTGGGCTTGATGATAAGAGCTTAACCCGTCGGCTATGTGAAAATTAATTGACAAGATTAACCGATCGTTTTGAAAATTCTAAATTGCTACCAATGCATACGTCCTCCGGCATGCCGAGTTACCTGCAAAATGAGCAAAATAATAATAATAAAGGAACAAATATATGTCAAACGAAAGAAATAATATGCGAAAACGAAACCTATAACCTTCAACGCGATCCCGCACTGCATGACCTTCACCCTTAGCATCAAGGTTCCCGGAAAGCCAAGTTCGCGGAACGTTCCGATTGAGGAACACGAACGTGAAACATGGAACATCTATCACTTTTAAAAATCGTGAGGGGTATATTTATTTGCATTGTTCCTTCGGAAGATGGAATGCGTATCTAGTGTAACATGAACGAGGTTCTTAGAATGAGGAACATATTTTATTTTGGTAAATGCATCGGCAACCATTATGAACTTGTTCCATCACGGTAGATTGTTATATTTTCATCTAGTGTCTATACGGCATTAACATTAACAAATCATGGCATGATCTAAAATGCATGATCAGAAAGAGGAATATACGCTATTGTGAGCAGCTGAGCATCCTAAACTTCTGATTTGGTGTACCTTTGCTCCAGGTCGTGTTCCCACTGTGTTTGGAACGATGTTCCCATTCCACGTTTGGGGCGAAGTTCCCAAAATGTGAAACATGGCCATGTTCCACATTTCTAGCTGCTAAACCTCCATCTGCTTGATCTCATGCTCCCGAGTAGATCCCGTGCCACCCTATGTCATCCAATTAGATCATGCATTATGCGCGCACTGTATCCCAACCTCCGGAGGCATGGATCGGAGAGGAAGCTAAGAGGTAGTGATGTGCTTTGCCTAACGGGGAGAGAGAGAGAGAGAGAGGCGGAGAAGTGGCTGAGAGAGTGGAGGCTTCGGAGGAGAAGAAAGAGGCGGTGGCGATTAGTGGGGAGGAGCGAGGGAGGCGTGTAGCACTAGGGTTTTTAATTAGACCTTAGGCTTTTTTATAGAGTCAGCCATCGTAAAAAAAACCGTGTATATAAATCAAATTATTGAGATAGTATTTATTTGTTTGTCTTCATAAACGGACTCAAAGAAAAGCATCATGTATTTTTGGAGTCTGAACAATTTTTAGACCGTCTCTATTAATCAAAGGCCTCTTAGAAATCTTTGTAGTAGTACGCCAAGTCGGCATGCAATTTGGTCGCTGCATTCGAAAGTCGGCCTAAATGTCGCCGACACGATGAACGGGATTGGAGCACCGGATCGGATTTGAAACCTAACCTGTTGTACCTAATAATTGGTGGCTTGGACTCCGTCATTTGTTTCCATGATCATCGATCTAGACTAACCAAAGCTGCTGCCTCAAAAAATAGTGTGGTTTGGGACCGCGGAGGCCTCTACATGCATATTCTTCCGTGCGACTATTTGCAGCATTGGCGTTCCGACGCAGCTGACCGTGGACCTCGTTAGCTGGCTGGCTGGTGCCTTGACTTCTGCCTTGGTTTGGACTCGCTGTCAAGGACTTGTAGGACGATATACATATATGCCTGAGTTTTGTCAGCTGCTGGAATTGAAGAACGACGGAGATAGATATGATCGTTGACGACGACAAACAGAGAGAAGAAGTCTCCACGCATGCGCTTCAAACGACACGTCTCCGTCCGACGCTGCCGTCGTCGATGCGATCCGGCACTCCGGCTCGATAGTAGATTATTCATTATTGTCCATCGCCATCTTCAGGAAACGACGGGAAAAGGGCTGAAGCTAGCTCTATATCTTCATTCAGTTCCAGTGAAGTGACGAGAGGAGAGGAGAGAAACGGTTATCCGTTCCACTCATCCATCTATCCCTGGCGTGCACTGCTCAGATAGCCGGGAAAAGATTTCTGAATCGTAGCTGGAACAGCCAAAGACGATGATGTGGCCACTTGTGTTATCAATATCGATGTATCGTCCTGACTCTTGCGTGAGATGCATGCTGTCGTCGACAATGCAGGCAATGCCTTCACGAGCCGTTGTTGCTGTGTGATGTACACATGCATTATTTCGCCAGGCCCGTACGCAGATTCTCTGCGTCGCACCATGCTTTTTTTTTGCGTTGAATGCAGTGCCGCAGTGTGACGGTCGCGACATAACTGACATTAATCACGTATATAGCCATACCCATACCTGACCATTTTATATATAACTACTCACTCCCTGCTAAAAAATAAAGTCGTTTTAAAGAGTGACATGGTCTTTGAAGCGTAACTTTAACTACTTATTTTTATAAAAATATTTATCAAAAAATGATATATGTAAATTTTGTGAAAGTATTTTTCAAGACAAATCTATACATATGGTTTTCACATTTCTAAACTCAACAACTTAAAATTTATTCATGATTTATATTTACAGTGTTTGACCCAAACCCTGTCTAAAACTGACTTTATTTTTTAAGTATGGAGGAGTACTTCCTAACCACCCATAAATCCCTGCCTCCTCAACCCTTCTGCTACTGTTCACCTTTTCTTTTCATTTTTCCTTTTTCCTTTTTTTCCTCCTCCGGACTCAACCCTTCAGCTACTGTTCACCTTTTTTTTTCTTTTTTCCCCCTTTTATGTTTTTTCCTTTTTTTTTTGCTCCTCAGGGCTTCGGACGCTGTTCTTTTTCCTTTTTTTCCTTTTTCTTTTTTTTTCTCCTCTAGGTTTCGACCGTTGTTTTGTTAGGTGCTGTTCAAACTTTTCGTCCCTCCCCCTACACGTGCGCAGCGGAGCGCGCGAATCAGCCTAGTACTCCCTAGGGTCCAAAAAGAATACAACTACCAAACTACAGCTAGGTGTGGATCAAACTAGCATAAGTTTGATCAAATTTATAGTGAATAATATTAATATTTTATGTATTTAATTAGATTTAATATAAAGATATATTTTATAGTTAATTTAATAATATATTTTTATTATAAATATTAATATTTTTGTATAACTTTAGTTAAATTTAAATTGTTTGACTCACCGAAAATTGAGAATTGTATTTTCTTTAGACGGAGAAAATATACACGAGTATTTGCAGGTGCAGGAGCTTCCTATCCCCTGCTATATAGTAGTCCTAGCAAATATAGGAGTACATAAGTATACTCATCAATGCAGCACCATGCATATACTCCCTCCGTACCTATCGTTCTCACTTTTGAGAAGTAAATGTACTTAATTTTGACAAAATATATAAAAAAAATATTAATATTTATATTACATAATTAGTATCATTAAATAGATTGTTGAATCTATTTTGATTTGGATATACAAATATTATCCATATTTGTTATAAATCTAGTCAATAAGAAAGTTTGGCCAGCCTAAATATTATAACGACACTGAAAAGAGAACCGAGGAAGTATGGGATTGGAAGCTCTCTACAAATAATTTGCTAGCTAGGGCTGAAACGATTGGTGCCACGCTGCCGCATGCTACATGCATTCGCACGCATTTGACTAGCAGCATCACGCACGGCACGGGCCGTGCAAGCTAAACACAAGTGGGGAAAATTAGTCAAAAAGACGCCATGCGAAACGACATTCCGGGCGTGACTGATCTTGCAAGGGAGATATATAGCACTAGCGGTGGCCGCGGCACGCATATATTCTATTCTATTCTATTCTATTCGATCGCCCAACGTTTTGCTAGAAAGCACACAGGATGAAAGGAACACGGACACGGCTGATGATGGTGGCCTGGTTACCGGAATCCCCAGCATAAACCACCGTTCACACTTGGGAGAGTGAAAGGAAATAATATTAATTTGGGGTAAACAGTAAACTTGCATATTACTCATCATATATATACACTGCTTGCGTGTATATGAAGTTTTTACTTCGATGGTGAAGGCAGGAGAGGCCATTGGCTGGCAACTTGTGTGTTTTTGTTGGTTATTAGCTAGGTGGAATAACAAGGAGAACACGTACGTCACCACGCCACCAAATGGATAGGATCGTGTGTAAGCAAACATCTGTATTCAAATTTCTGTGGGGCGAAGAGAGACCCAGTCTCAACTGCATGGTGTCACAGAAATTACTACCATGAAAAACCAGTTACAGGTGTGTATTAGATCCTTGGTTGACCTGATCTACAAAATGTCATGCAGCGACATGAACGAGTTTTTCTGACTCACTCTACATAGATTATCTCATCTCAATCATGTAAAATATATATATAATCCCAGCAGTGACCATCAAGTCTTCCTTGTGAACATTTTTGTCCCACGACCAGATATAGAAACCAAAGGTCCAAGGAGTACTATCCGTGCCTCTTCTGCTCCACGATTGTCCTCGACTCTTTGCCACAAAAGATGGTGTTCTAGAACATTAGGTTGCCTCTCTTTGCAAAATGTCTAGGCTAACCAATATAATATAGTATATTGTCAAATTTAATACATGTATGAATTTTCACCATCATCCCCCCTTTTAAAAAATGCCAACAGCTAGCATTCTCAACGTTTACCTGATCTTCCACTCACCGTTCAACACTATCCACTATCTATTTTTCTTATCAGGAAAAGTCTATTAGTTGAGTCCCTCAAATATCATTTCTAGGTTGCCCGAAATGACAACTAAAAATCATGGTAGTGACAAAAAATGAAACTAGAATATTGGCCACATGCAACCATATTGGAAGAGAAGATTGGATGTACCTTCAAGTAGTAGCATGCCTTCATTTTAATGGCATAAAAACAAACGATACTAGTTGTTGTTGCATGGCGCGTCTTATGTCGGTTTTATATTTTCTTGTTTTACTTCTCTATTGTTATATGTACAGCGCCGAACTGACGCAGGTCATTTTACAAAAAAAAATACATTACTTTTTTATAACGAGAAAAGTATAAAAATATTTAAAAGGATACAAAATACTAGCCCAAAGTGGACGCAACGCAAGTTGGAAGAAGCCGGTGGAGCGGGCGGCGCAGAGGATCCGCGGCACAGCCGACGGTCGTACTAACCGCGCATGACATACGTATAGGACGACTTTCGCCGCCACTCCCTACCAGCCCATCCCTTCTTTTCTTCCCCTCCCCTCCCGCTGCACTGCAGCTGTTCGCCTGCTCCCCACTTCCCGTTCCGCCCCTCCGCGTCGCTTCTCCCCCTCCGTTTCCCACCGCGCAGGTCGCCGATCCGGCTCACGCCCGCCCCGTTGATTCGCGCCTGTACTTGCCGGTACAATCTCTCTGCCCGTGAATACCTCTTTGCCTCCTTGCCTGCAAGATTGACTCTTCTGTTTGCTGCTTCTGTTTTGGTTCTTCTTTCGTCCTTGCTTCGTATGGATTTTAAGGGCGTTTTTCATGAAATCGAAGTTGCTGGATTGCTCGTGGATGTCTGAAAAAAACATGATTTTTTACAACGCGCTTCATAGTCTTGTTGAGTACTGCTACTCATGGTTGAGCAATTAGAAGCCGCGTGTAGAGAAGCCCAGGATTTGCGGTGCATGGTGATGTTAGAAGGGGAGGTGGATGCTTTTTTAATTAACTTGTGCTGTAACTGATTCTAATCTGGTTGAACGGTTCGTGGCAATTGGGATTTCTTATGATTGGGCCACTGTGAGCACTGCAACTGCAAGTATTTCAGCTCTAACAAAATCTTCAGTATGGAGGTATGATCAAAGTTTGATTAGATATTCTTCCCCGGAGAAAGCGGATTGCTGTTGAGGATTTTATTTAAAAGTGAACTCCCTTTTTCTTTTATTCTGGCGCGCGAGAGCTGTATTTTGGCCATCTTTGCCTTGGCATTTGTGGTGTGTTTAGTCTTTGATATGCTGATATTTGGGACAATCGATCCCATCCAGCGTGTTTAATTTAGGTATGCTTACTCTCGCTAGTTCATTATTTTTTTTCCCAAGACCCGGTAATCACTAGTCGGTCTTTCTTTTTCTTGCGTGGAACATGGCAATCAGTCAATGTTGCCAATCTTTTTGCGGAAGGGCATTCAGTCAATATTGCTTAATTATACGCGTGCTTATTGCTTAGTTGCTTACCATGCACTAGAAGGTGCATGTTAATCGCTAGAGTTTACCCCAAAACATTGCCAATCTTTTTGCGGGAGGGCATTCAGTCAATATTGCTTAATCTATATTCTATAAGCATGCTTAGTTCCTTACCATATTCTAGAAGGCGCGTGATAGTATTAGTGACTAGTGTTTTCCTCGTAACCTGTTTAAAGTTTAATCCAATGGCTGCAACATGATAGAGGATTATTCTACTTCCATCTTGATTGGACTACATAAGTTTGCTTGAGTTTCTGTTGCATCATATAACACATTCTAGTACTAAGCCTACGACGATTCAGGATGTTATTTCTTTTGAACGTAAAATTGGCAGGAGGTTAACCAGATGTAGAAGAAGAGTTAGGCCTAAGCCAAACAACAGAAAAGGGGGGGAAAAAACTTTACAATGGACACCGTGCCGTGAGTGGGTTTAGGTCACTGGGATCAGATCGCCCACTCTCTTTGCTGCCTGCCCTTGCCCAGAATGATTCAGGGCTCAGTAGTTCAAATGTTTAATCATATAGTGATGCCTACTCAGTGTTGCGGTTTCCCCAAAGAATGTCCATTAACTTACTTTTCTTTGTGGAATAATCAAAAGAAGAATGATGCAATCTGTTTACCCAGACAACTGAAAAAGTGCTGGCAAGTCAAAAGTAGCTTTATATGTTAGAACACTGCTAGTTGTGATTCCATGGTCGGTCGGTTAGTTGATAAACTGTTTCCTTATATTTCAGGTAGTAGACGGTTTTGTCAAACAATTCAATCAGAGGAACCCGCGTGTTAACCTGAAGTTATCTGAGATTCTGAAGCAATTAAGGCTCACAACAAGTTTAGCCTAAAAGGTTGAAAGGGAAAAGTTATGTCTTTTGCTAGGCGACTGGACCCGTCAGCTTACACGGACAATCTATACATTCATAAATTTGCCACACCAAGCTCAAGCTTTGCTGCTCGAAGATTTTCCTCGGATACACAGTTGTTCCGTTACGACCCAGAACCATACAATGAGTATGGGCATATGGGTTTCACTGGAGCACCATCTGCTGCATTTCAAAACTCCTTTTGTAGTCAGCAGGCCTCACTAAAACCATACCATGTAACTGATGATGGACGATCTCCAAGTGTTGCAGATACTCAGTCTAACTCATGCTCTGACGCAGCAAAAGATTCACCAGTGATTTCCAATGTCTCGCAGCAGAACTCCCAGTCTGTATCAGATAGTCAGAGTTCTGAAATCGAAGTAGAGTTCGATGAAGATGACATTAGGCTGAAGCTTCAGGAGCTGGAGCATGCTTTACTTGACGATGGTGATGATATCTTATTTGACATTTCCCAGGCAGGTAGCATTAATGATGAATGGGCTGACCCCATGAAGAATGTATTGCTTCCAAATTCACCAAAAGAATCAGAGTCAAGCATCAGTTGTGCTGTTAGCAACAGTGGAGCTCCAAGGACTCCAAAGCAATTGCTCTTTGACTGTGCTACTGCATTGTCTGAATACAACACAGATGAAGCACAGGCGATCATAACAGAACTCCGACAGATGGTCTCCATTCAAGGGTACCCTTCTGAAAGGATTGCAGCATACATGGTAGAGGGCCTTGCTGCAAGAATAGTAGCTTCAGGGAACGGCATCTACAAGGCTTTGACATGCAAGGATCCTCCAACTCTGTATCAACTTTCAGCAATGCAAATCCTCTTTGAAATATGCCCATGTTTCCGTTTGGGCTTCATGGCTGCTAATTATGCTATAGTTGAAGCCTGCAAAGGAGAAGAAAGACTGCACATTATCGACTTTGACATCAATCAGGGCAGCCAGTACATTACATTGATACAATTTCTGAAAAACAATGCAAACAAGCCACGCCATTTGAGGATAACTGGTGTTGATGATCCTGAGACAGTTCAGAGGCCCATTGGAGGTCTGAGGGTCATTGGGCAACGCCTAGAGAAGCTTGCAGAGGACTGTGGGGTCTCTTTCGAATTCAGGGCAGTGGGTGCTAACATTGGGGATGTTACACCTGCGATGCTTGATTGTCGTCCTGGTGAAGCACTTGTTGTCAATTTTGCATTCCAGTTGCACCATCTTCCTGATGAGAGTGTTTCAATTATGAATGAAAGGGACCAGCTCCTTCGTATGGTGAAGGGACTCCATCCTAAGCTAGTGACCCTGGTTGAGCAGGATGCCAATACCAATACTGCACCGTTTCTGCCAAGGTTAGCGACTTTATTAAAAGAAAGTCTTGAGTCCACTCTAGATGCTAATCTAATGTTGTACTGTGGATTTTATATATGAACCCCATGTATGTTTTGATCTTATGACTCCTACAGTAGCATTAACATCTGACTTTCACAGGTTCCGTGAAGTCTATGATTACTACTCTGCGCTTTTTTATTCTTTAGATGCGACACTTCCAAGGGAGAGCCCAGATAGAATGAATGTGGAGAGGCAGTGTCTTGCACGAGAAATTGTTAACATCTTGGCTTGTGAAGGTCCTGATCGTGTGGAGAGGTACTACCTGTACCCAGCCATGCTTTTACCAGTCCTGCACCCTGCATTCTCACCCTTTTTCCTGAAATTTAAGAAACTGATAGTGAAGCTGTTACATGTTGCAGGTTCGAAGTTGCTGGGAAATGGAGAGCAAGAATGACAATGGCTGGCTTCACACCATGCCCATTTAACAGCAATGTCATCAGTGGAATAAAGTCGATACTGAAATCATATTGTGATAGGTACAAGTTCCATGAGGATCATGGCGGGCTTCACTTCGGCTGGGGGGAGAAGACTCTCATTGTCTCCTCCGCATGGCAATAGAGAATTAGAGCTCACGTATGGAGTTGCATTAGTATTGTTGTATTTTAGGAGCTTCCGGTGCAGACTGTAAAAAGATGTGACCGCTGGGCTGTTAACTGAACCTTACTTAATCGTAGATGTATGGTTGTCAGAATAATTGAGTTTGGCTGATTACCCGGTGCTAGTAGCATCTTGTTGCGTGATGAATCTGTATTTTAGGATAGAAGAGTTATGACATGGCGACTCTACTTTGTGTATAAAAATTATGCATTACTGAACTAGAAGATATTTTGTACTCACCTGCAGCAAACAATTCTGAATCAGAAGCAAGATCCACGACAGATTATCGTGATATTCGGTACATCAATGCGAAAAGTGAACTTTGCTGAGAACATATTTGACATCAAGACTTAAGATTATCCAATAGAGTCATCATGTAATTACATCAATTTTCTGTAGTACAACAATTTGACAAGCGTACAAAGCTCCTGTACAAGCTTATGAAAGCTGGATCAACACTATACAGGTATCATCTTCGGAATTAATCCAGGTATACTTGTATACCCAATAGAATACAAGTATTATCACAATAAGCAATATACAGGTGTCCTCTTCAGAAATAATCCATTTATATACTCAGAGAATCTGAATTTTTTGGCTCTCACAATATGACATATATGGGTATAAGCTCAATCATGTCATTAGGGATTTAGGGTAAGCTGTGTCGTGAATTCAATGAATTATAATTAATATTTGGTTGCATTTTGACCCGTTTAGAGGACTCGACAAGCGATGGAAGAGGTCTAGGAACAGGGATATTCCTTGACCTGTAAAGCCTCTTCAAACTTGTATTCAAACATTTCGATGATCCAATAATGCACAAAGGTTCCTTTTGACAATCAGTTCTTTCTGCACTTCTGACCATGGTAAGGTTTAAGTCTTCCGTGGAACTCGATGATTTTGACTCCTCTGCAACTTCTGACTTTTCAAGTTGATCAGACACCACTAACATATTGTGTTGACCAGCAGGTAATAACTTCACTTGACACGCTTCTAATTGTGTTGAGGTTGCTTCATGCTTACAGGAAGTCACATCATCTCCAACTGCCATGGGATCTTGCTGGGAGGCTGGTGGTTGTTTCGTATCGAAATCCATTGAAGAATATGTTTCAACATCTTCACTACTACCATGAACCGAATCTGTTGGTGCACATGCCCTGGCTTCTTCTAAGGCAATGTACTCTTCTTTCATAATGTCAATTGCTTGAGAGGCAAACCTTGCTCTTCCAAACAATGTAATGTCTGGTTCTTCAGGTGGAGGGGGTGGCACAAATTTCAGTTCAAGGGTGCTTATTACATTTAAATATGCACATCCATCGCTGGTGGAAGATGAATGATCATCATCAACAACAAAACTTGAGTTATCTTCGTTTGTCTGTGTTTCAGACGCAAGCACTGAACAAGGGGAGGACACTGACTTTTCAAGAGGATCTCTGAATATTTTCCACAGTGGATCATCAGCTGTTAAGCGGGTCTTGAAACAATGTTTCTTTACATAGCTCAGCTCAATGGCGAAGCACGGCGGAGTTGTTGAAATAACCCACTGAGGTTGGAGAAGTTGTAGTGCCTGCTCCAACTCATCACGAGAGGAGTGAATGGAGAAACAAACATGCCAGATGCCAAACTCATCCTGCTCAGCTTCTGTTAAGCTGGGTTTCTTCTGGTTTCGAGTACAGCTTGCATACCACTGTGTTGATGGACGAATAAATAAGGGTTCAGGTTGGAGATTTGCCCTTGCCTCTGCAAGCTCTTTGCTTGCTCTATCATATAACTGGTGGAACCCAACCATCTGTGGGGTTAAGAAGGTCACAACCGACAAGGAAGAAAACAAGGGGTCACTCCATGTGATAGGCACCAGAAGAAATGATAGAAGGTGCAGGACTCAGCATCAGGTACCAGCCAATTGTGTGTAATTTTTTTTACGAAACAAGAACCTTGATGTTATGATACTAACCTAATGTATAATAGGATTGACATTAACTTATTTTGCCTTAAAATGGAAACGAATCAGCTAGCTTCCATGTGTATTATAATGTCATAGTGACTGACTACTGTCAGGCAAATATTTCCCTTATGGGCAGGCTTCAAAAATGAAAGTAATGCAAAAAATTCAGTATTAGGAAGATAGAAGGATGCATTTCATGGGATAATATACCTGAAAGCGAGAAGATGAATCATCAGTGATGATTTCAGGGGCTGTCAGTGATAGTGCTTTAAAACAATCCAATTTCCGGTCGACATAGATTTTCGATCCGAAAGTCCTTGACACCTCAACTAGTATATCTTCATGCCCAAGAAGATCACAAGCAAGGAAAACAAACAGTGCATGTGGATGCTTCCATATGCAAGATATAACCTGCAATCACTGAATCATTTATCAATTGTAACTATCCCTGTTGTCAGAAGAACACTTCTACAAGGTACATACAGAACATATATAATCACAGCACAGAGAACAACCTGCCGGATTGCTGACTCCTTGCTCGGTAGCTTGAGGAAGCACTTGGAGAAGGTGCAATCTAGGAATACAAAGTCAAGTCGGCAAATGTTTTCATTTCCTTTCTTTGTTATGTACTTCATTGGCAAATCCTGTATGCAGTCAGGTGTAAGCCGAGAGTCCCCTGTGTGAAGTATGGTACCAAATTGACCCTCAAACAAGAACATGACTGCCCCTGAAATCACCAATCAGGCCAAGCATAAGCCATCCCTTACTCCTAGGAGCACATAACGAGCATACTGAGCTCAAATAAAACAGAACAATGGACAAATGTTCTCTACACTCTACACAAAGAGATAGCATCACATTACATTTACATTTTTGCTAGGTTTGATATCAAATAAATCACAGAGCATTCTTGACAAGCTCCTAACTAATTTTTTTTGCCTAAATACCAAGTAACTTATACCCCCTTATAATTACCAAGTAATGGATCTCCCCTCTTATGATTGTGTCTTATGCACCCAACCTACGGAGGAAACCCTGGAACACCTAATCTTCAAGTGTGACTTCGCGCAAGCTTGCTGGTTCAGTCTTAATCTTAGCATTGACACCGATGATGAACTCTTTATTACTCTGGAGCACTTCAAACACCAATTGGGAGTCAACTTCTACATGGAAATCATCATACTAAAGAGCTGGGAGATTTGGGTCTCAAGGAATGACCATATAGCCAAAGGGCGCCTAGCTCAAACGGTTAGGTGACCCAGCGGCACTCCTCAGGTCCTGGGTTCGACTCCCTGTGGGAGCGAATTTCGGGCTGAGGTTAAAAAAATCCCCTCGTCCGTCCCCATAAAGCACTGGGGGGCACCGGCCCAATTCTCACTTGGGCGACGGAAAGCCACCGTGTAAGGGTGGGGGCGGGGGTTCGGGGGTTTTCTCGGCCGGAGGTGAGAAGGTCCTTCTTATTTGTAATGCTGTGGGGGCAGTCTTAACCCCCCGGTCGAGTTTTTTTTTAGGAATGACCATATATTCCAAGGAATTCAGCCATCTATATCAAATTGCGGGCATTTTTCAAAAAAGAGTTCTCTCTGGTTATCCATAGAGCGAAGAAAAAATATTTCCCTCTTATAGAAGAATGGCTAGAGCACCAATTGTGATCTTCTTAATATTATTTCTGTCCTTTTTCGTTTCTTGAATTCTGTTGCTTGGACACATCTTTTTCTGCTATTAATTAATATATATTAACCAGTAGGGGGCTACCCCTCCTGTTTCCTAAAAAAAAACAAGTAATGACATCAACAGAAATGGAATAGTTAGAAAGAACATATTACCAGGGCAGTGATTTGCGTCGTACGTGGTGACAGAGAAGGCGCCGGTGGGATCATCCAGCACCACCGTCCTCCCCACCTCCATCTCCACGAACTCCCAACTCCCCAGCTGCATCACAATTCACAGTTTCACACCGCGGCGCAAGAGCTTTTAGCAAAAGGGCAAAGACACCCCAACAGAAAATTTTTGGCGGAACTGAACATACAGAGGGAGGGAAAATGGTTAATTACCTGGGGAAAGTGGCGAAGCGCGAGGTGCAGAGTGAGGCGGGAGGCGTAGATGGTCCCCCCCCCGTCGATTTCGGCACCGGCGCCGACGAGGTGGTCCCGGTGCGCGTGGGTGAGGAAGCGGTGGCGCCGGCGCCGGGAGGAGGGACCCCACGTGTCGACGGCGAAGGGGAGCCCCCGCGGCATGTCTATCGGCATTCTCCCCTAGGCTCCTTTCCTAAATTATGGATAGGTCCCTCCCCTCTCCCGGATCGCGGCCGCTGTTCAGTGGGGTCACAACTCACAAGGGTGGAGTTTTCCTTGATGGATGGAAACATGGTGGAGTTCGTTGCCGGTTTATATGCGCGCGGAATGGGGGAAGCCGGGCAGCCGGCTCCTTCCTTCGGAAGGAAGAGTAACGGGTTAACGGGCGTTCGGAGTTTGGGTGAGTGACCAGGCCTGCGTGCTTAACCTGGTAACTTGCTGCCTTTTGCAGTTTGGGTGGGTCCCGCGTCGTCTTTTTGTCGATGAAGTTCGGGCCGCTTTGTCTGTGTACTAGTATGGCGGCGCGCGACCGTAGGAATTGTTTTTGAACGTAGTTGTGGAAACCGTTTTTTATTGTCGGTACCTGCTGGTTTTTATGGTTTATTTTGTAACATAGATATATTTTTAGGAAATTTGCGAGGTTTTGATTCTCTGTAGATCATGGTACTGGTAAGAAAATAGAGCTGCGACAGTTGTCTGATAACATTTTAGCATAACTTATCTAGGATTTACAAAAGGATGATATAGTTTCATATACAATGGAACATCAAGATTTCATAGCGACGATTCGAGTGATACATCCATAGTACGTGGTTCCCATAGCTATGTCTAGATTACGTAAACGGCAAATAGTACATAGAAGTCGATGCATCATAGGTCGATGCATGCGAAACATGAGTTCGATGCATTGTAGTTCGATAATTTACATATAGGTTTGACTT